TAGGATCCGCAACACAGATAACACCGATAGGGGATGGCGGGCGCGGAGACACTCAACGCAGACTCACACCGACACTGATAGGACACAGATAAGGGCTCTGATCAGCTCAGATGGACACTGATGGGCACAGATGGGCGTAGATGGGCACTGATGTGGCAGATAAGACCCAGAGAATGACACAGACAGCAAGCAGAAGCAGCGGGGCTCAATAACCTGTAGGAATAACCCAGAGACACTGATGCACGGAAAGCCTGAGGACCCAGATATCACAGAGAACGAGTGAACATCATAGTAGAGGATAGAGGATGTAAGTACAAAGACGAACGCAACTCTACGGACGTTGTTTGTATGTGTTAGGATCAAGTGGCAACGGTGGCGAGTCTCATACCCAATACCGCCGCATATTCCAACATCCACCACCAGTTCAGCGGGTGGGAGCACACTGCCGACCATGCCTGCTCGAAAAGACCCGTATTAACGAGCCAATTCGCGACACGGACGAGGAGTCGCCCATCGATGGTCGGACTCGACGTTTCGTAATCTTGAAAACTCCACTGCTTTGCTGTGAGTATATAGCTGCATGAAATGTATTCTGAGAACATACTATCATGTAACGAATCATGTCTGTACTATGAATTGAGATCCCACGAACAGAAGTCGACAAATTGCCACTCACAGAACCATGTATGCGCGAATGAAATTGCGGTCAAGCCTCCAAATAGGTACACTGAACCTGGGAGACGTGTAGCACGCGGTTGGCTCTCGAGTATTATCCAGAACAGGAGGAATATCAGCAGGAAGTAAGCGACGAGGACGCCCAGGGCTAACACTTTTTCGCTGTCCATTGAGCCGAGGATGATGAGACCGCTTGGGATCGTCGAAGTCTACGAGATTTGACTCAAATTTGACGAGCACTTGTCTCTTCCTAGGTATGTGCTGGGGACCAAAGACATTCGGGCGGGCGTGCCGCGTGCGAGACGTGAATGGAAATTGGAATGAGGAAAAGTAAATCGGAGCCGCGGAGCTTGAAATTCGGTTGCAAGCACTGATTTTGCGGCGCGTCTCAATCCAATCACATTATCTTCGGTATTTCCTTATGGATCTCTCTTGGACACTCAGAATATGCGCTTGGTTGGCTCAGCTGGTTAGAGCGCCGGTCTCATATTTCAGAATATGACGTTGCTACGCGATGCCATCCGGAGATCACCAGTTCGATCCTGGTACCGAGCATTTTACCACTCTTTATCCAAGTTTTGAGTTTCTTTGCCTCGTTTTTTGCACCTCACCATAGCACAGCATAGCACCAAGGTGGACTTGCGTAGTCTCCTCGGCGGCTACTGTGAGCAGATGAGTAAATAGTATCATGAGTGAGTGGTACTTATGCCAATGGTGTTTGCCCAATCTTCAATCAACGACGCGAAGATAAGATTGAAAATCAGGGCGGCCTTCATCTGTACGCGAGTTGTCAACATCGTTACAGCTCCCCGCCATCACAGCACGTCGTCCAGCGTCGTTGGCCTGTTGCCGCGTTACAAAACCAGGTGCGGTCACCAAGGCGGTCACAATGTTGTACAAATGTACTTAAATGCTGATAGGCAGCCTCTGGATAGCGCCGTAACGAAGCTAACAGTACCATGTTTGCTCTGGGCCAAGTTGTGAAGCAAGTATTAGTCTGATTCCTAGTCACCTTGTGCTGCGGCCTCATCTCCAGTGATCTCAAGACTCGAAGACTCTCGACGCCAAGCAATTGCACCGATGCTCCCGGCTGTGCAGCTCTGTGATCTCTCGTCGTGCGAGCGCGTTGTCCCATCTTTGATCGCCTATGTCCCCGACAACGCATATGGTCGCCCTCGAGAAGCCAAGGGGCACATACGATGATCATCGTCCAATGTATCGACGGACACGCGACGTTCCGCTCGCCATGCAGCACATATAAGCCGCATCTCTATTCCAATTTCTCCGTCTTTTTTTCGCATCTTGTACTTGACGCTCCTGGACCTCCTCCGGCCCTTCTGTCATTCGTTCTTGACGATTGCTTTGCCCTCGGCGGCATACGAATCGTCCCCCACACTCTTTAAACGGGCCCCCTCGTCTCCCCCATAACTGCCAACATACCTCTATAATCAGGCATTATACAATGGTGGCACAACACTTACTCCTCCTCTCCCTGTTCGCCGTCGCGGCTCGCGCGAACGACTGGAGCACACCGTGCTTCAACGGAGAGTGCTCGTACGAGCTGCCGAAGACGAACGCGAGCTCCCCTCACGCTGTAATGAAAATTGTGAGTGCATTTCGCTTCATTTGGTGCAGGCAGCGACTCATCAGATATCGCAAAGACGGGCTCTCCGGATGCGATTACAGACATCACGGAGGCCGCTGGGTGGATTATTCTTGGCTGCGACCAGGAAGCCCTCACCCACGACGTCCGCATTGTTTGCCAGAGCAACGATACCTCGAGCACTGGGTGCGGACACTTGTACCAAAACGTTGATGTTGTAGGAAAAATCGTCCGTCTCCCCGAGGACGTGAGCTGTTTCTTCTACGCTTTACGACTAAAACTGACAGAGAAGCATTAGTGCGGCAAGAGCCCCTTCGCACGCGTCGTGAACTTGACGGACCATGACGACCAGAGTATACCCGACGATGTATCGAAACGTTTGATTGGCTCCGGACACCAAGTGAAGATGATTTCCCTCGACACAAACTTCCACGAAGTCGATGCAAACAAGTGAGTCAAGAGCAAGGATTTTCTGATCAAATTATTGACCGTATTTGGTGTGCAGAACTGGCAACGTACAGATTGCCATCCAGGGCACCACTATCCAAGGGGCCACCGGCTCTGTCGTCTCTCAGTACAACGGCACGGCCACAGGAAACAGCTTTATCAACGCAGGCATAAAGAGTAGGCATCGAATCGTGTCTCGCACAGCGTATCCATCTCTTACATCTCATCTATAGGCTTCCTGAACTGGAACAAGAACATCACGAAGACTCTTACGCCCATCGATGTCGTCAAGCCGAACTTCACGCTTATCGACGAGTCGATAGACTGCCCCGCGACGCAGAAGGTCCCTGCGTTCCGCGCAGCTATCGATGCGCAGATGGACATCGACGCGCATGCGGAGCCCGAGATCGGCATCGTCGCATCTGGAAGCCTTATCCCGCCCAAGATTTCGCATTTCGCGCTTTTTGCTGGCCTCACGGCGGACATCAAAGGGTCTCTGAGAGTGAATGTGTCTGCCGGTGTATGTTTGTATTCTGCATCTCTACTAGTCCTCCGGGTACTAAGCCTTCTCACAGGGAACACTTGCGTCGAAACGTATTCCCCTTTTCACTCAAGCCCTTGGTGGGATCGATATTCCTGGGTATGCTGTTTCATTCTGAAGCTGGACCCAGGCGCTGATCAGTCCCTTAGTATCATCACGCTCGGTCCCACCTTCACAGTGACCGTAGGCACCGCAGCCTCCCTCGACGTAGACCTCGACTTTGAAGTCGACCTAGCATACAAGGTCGACAACGCCCAGATGTTCTTCCCGCCCTCGGATGCATACCCTAACAAGGGCTCATTCGTCCCATCCGATACTCGTCAGTAGCATCTCAGCCTCGTCTTACCCGTTCTATCGTCTCATCTGCTTCTTTGACAGCCTTCAAGCTCTCGCTCCCCCCTTCTGCCCCCACGAAAACGAAGTTCACCGCAAACCTCATCCCAGAGGTAACCCTCCCCCCATCTACTTCCGTAAAAAACACATCCTAACGTGAGACCGCAGCTCGACTTCGGCCTCAAAGCTTTCGGAGGCGTCGCCGAGGCCACCGTCTTCCTAAACATGAACGCCGCAGCGAACCTCGTTCTCGACATCGACGCGCCCGCCAACACGACGGCCACCAAAGCAGCGGTCGCGGCGGGCAAGGACGTGGACGTCGACGGCTGCGCGTCCATCAACGGGGACTTCAGCGTCAACGCCGGTGCCCGCGGATCCTTCTTTAGCTTCTTCAACGACGCGACCTCCGTCCCGCTTTTCAACGAGCAGTTCGACCTCTTCTCGGTACGTCGGCATGTGCCCACGGGGACGCGTTTACTTATTGACGATTGATGGATGGATGCGTGGCGCAGAAATGTTTTGGCAATGCTACGTCTACGGAGAAGCGCACGCTGCCTGCACGGAGCGATGTCAGTGTCGTGCGTGCGCCGCGGCCGTCCGCGAGGGCGCTCAACAGCCACTTCTCGCGGCGGTCGCACCACCAGGTCGCCCGTTCCCTGGTCCCCAAGGGCGAGCAGCTCGCGTGTATCCTTCTTCAAGCAGCCGAGCTCGTGTCGGCGCAGACGGTCAAGGGCGGCAGGTAAGCACTCACGTTGACAAATTGTGGCCATCGTTATACGGGGACTAACGAGCGCGATTTTGTGTTGTGTACAGTGCGCCGTCGTCTACGATTGCTGCCCCCCAGCCGACCAAGAGTGGCTGAGTTCACGTCCGCCGTCGAATCTTTATACTATTTATTCATTTCGAATTTCTGTCGTTGTTGTTGTGTTACATATGGTCCAATCCATGGGTGTATCATTCGGACTTTCGCAGTCCATGCGCGGTCAAGCCTCCTCCTCTCTTGTTCCCGGTATCAGGGATTGTACAATGCTCTCGACCCACGGGCTGAGGGAGAGAAGTGTCCAAGCCTTGTAGCTGAACGTATCGCTACCAGCCGTCTCTGCATCCTGAGGGGCCGGTGATGGTAATTTCTCGTGGCCATTGACAATGCTAACGCCGTTGTCCGACTTGAACATATCCCAAACACCCATTACCTCCGACCGCCTCTGCATCGACACCTCCATGCCAGGCTCGAGCTGCGCGAGGTACTCCGCGTGCGCCCACGCCGTCAACGGGCTCGCACAGTCCGAGTCCATCCAGAACGTGCCCGACCGGTCTTGCACGAAGCCGATGTCGCTGAGGTATTCCTCTACCTGTGTGCGAGTCTCCCCTATAGTGAGCACCTCAATGTTAGTATTCATCGTGGACGAGTATTTATCGTGGACGAGTATTTATCGTGGACGAGTATTTGTCGTGGACGAGGTGGTGGAAAGAAGGAAAGGACACGCACCTCGTTTCTTAGCGGGGACGGATGAGAGGTTGAGCCTGATTCCGACGGGGCCTGGGGGCCACTTCGCTAGCTGGATAGGAGCTGGTCCAAAGGTAAAGGCCTGGGGCTGATCATGAGATGAGGACATGGACATGATATGGTCCTGGTGCGTTGATCTAGGCCTGGTGCGTGTATTGAGGCTGGGTGGTGGCGGGGATGGTTTCGTCGGCGATGCGAATTGACCATTCAACGTTCAACTTCGACGCAATTTATACTCTTGGTTTGGTACGAACCAGGACCCAGGAGTGCCCGATGATCTGGGAGCATAATTGTTAGATGGCCTTGTGTTAGAAAACAAGAACAAAAAACCTTGATGTGTCGGTGTCGGTGCGTCCTTGTTCCAATTGTGGAATAGACTCGCACTCAGTGTCACCCCGTCGCCACAGTTTCAGCGACCCTGAGGCAGGACGTTATACCTGCTTGTATACAGCACACGCATCGCTCTGGACTATAGCGAACGGCTAGATGTCCAAGTACTAGTCGAAGGTGACATCGTCACGAGTTCATACGCACGCGTAAAAAACAATAACGGAATCGTGTCACGGCGCCGCGCCTACATAAAAGACAACATCAACTTGAAGCGCTACAACAAGCGCTACAACAACCTCTCTGATATCGCTAGCTTGTTCTGTCTCTTTGCGTGCGAGGTTTGCGAGGTATTCCAGGTGGTGCTCGTTCGCCTCGACGACCCGCGGCGCGATGTGTTTCCAGACTGCGGTACAGTACAATGATTGAGCGTGGTCATACGGTTACGGGATAAGTAATGGGAAGGAAGCACGTACTGAGCGGCGTCCGCCTCCAATCGCTCTCCTCTCCTCAGGATATACTTCCGATACCGGCCCATCTCGACTATACAATCTTAGCCTCACTCATTCTATGCACAAACCAGCTAGTTCCCTCGTCGTACCACTGACCGGACGAAAGACGAACCTTGCCCCTCCGCCCCGCCTCATCGACTACTTTCCTGTCGTGCCCACGCATCCATCTCCTGCGCACTCTACATATTATAATCCAATTTCCACCATTAATAATTATTGATCGCAGCGGGTGAGGAATGAGCGATACGGACCTCCATAATACGCGTAGCGGCCGCCTGCTGCTCC